CTGTTTCCCCCCCCCTCCTCTGTGTGTCGGTGCTGAGGCGGTGTCTCCTGTTCCCCCCCCCCTCCTCTGTGTGTCGGTGCTGAGGCGGTGTCTCCTGTTCCCCCCCCCCCTCCTCTGTGTGTCGTGTGCTGAGGCGGTGTCTCCTGTTCCCCCCCCCCCCTCCCTGTGTGTCGGTGCTGGGGCGGTGTCTCTGTTCCCCCCCCCCTCCTCTGTGTGTCGGTGCTGAGGCGGTGTCTCCTGTTCCCCCCCCTCCTCTGTGTGTCGGTGCTGAGGCGGTGTCTCCTGTTCCCCCCCCCCCCCCCTCCTCTGTGTGTCGGTGCTGAGGCGGTGGTCTCCTGTTCGCCCCCTTCATCACCCGTTTCACCTCCCCTCCTCTGTGTGTCGGTGCTGAGGCGGTGTCTCCTGTTCCCCTCCCCTCCTCTGTGTGTCGGTGCTGAAGGCGGTGTCTCCTGTTCCCCCCCCCTCCTCTGTGTGTCGGTGCTGAGGCGGTGTCTCCTGTTCCCCTCCCCCTGCTCTGTGTGTCGGTGCTGAGCGGTGGTCTCCTGTTTCCCCCCCCCCTCCTCTTGTGTCGGTGCTGAGGCGGTGTCTCCTGTTCCTTCCCTTCCCCCCCCCCCCTCCTCTGTGTGTCAGTGCTGAGGCGGTGTCTCCTGTCCCCCCCCCCTCCTCTGTGTGTCGCTGCTGAGGGCGGTGTCTCCTTGTCCCACCCCCTCCTTCTGTGTGTCGGTGCTGAGGCGGTGTCTCCTGTTTCCCCCCCCCCCTCCTCTGTGTGTCGTGCTGAGAGGTGTCTCCTGTTCCCCCCCCCCCCTCCTCTGTGTGTCCGTGCTGAGGCGGTGTCCTCCTGTTCCCCCCCCACTCCTCTCTCCTGTGTGTCGGTGCTGAGGCGGTGTCTCCTGTTCCCCCCCCCCCTCCTCTGTGTGTCGGTGCTGAGGCGGTGTCTCCTGTTCCCCCCCCCCTCCTCTGTGTGTCGGTGCTGAGGCGGTGTCTCCTGTCCCCCCCCCTCTCTGTGTGTCGGTGCTAAGGCGGTGTCTCCTGTTCCCCCCCCCCCCCTCCTCTGTGTGTCGGTGCTGAGGCGGTGTCTCCTGTTTCCCCCCCCCCCTCCTCTGTGTGTCGGTGCTGAGGCGGGTGTCTCCTGTTCCCCCCCCTCCTCTTGTGTGTCGGTGCTGAGGCGGTTGTCCCTGTTCCCCCCCCCTCCTCTGTGTGTCGGTGCTGAGGCGGTTGTCTCCTGTTTCCCCCCCCCCTCCTCTGTGTGTCGGTGCTGAGGCGGTGTCTCCTGTCCCCCCCCCTCCTCTGTGAGTCGGTGCTGAGGCGGTGTCTCCTGTTCCCCCCCCCTCCTCTGTGTGTCGGTGCTGAGGCGGTTGTCTCCTGTTCCCCCCCCTCCTCTGTGTGTCGGTGCTGAGGCGGTGGTCTCCTGTCCCCCCCCCTCCTCTGTGTGTCGGTGCTGAGGCGGTGTCTCCTGTTCCCCCCCCCCCTCCTCTGTGTGTCGGTGCTGAGGCGGTGTCTCCTGTTCCCCCCCCCTCCTCTGTGTGTCGGTGCTGAGGCGGTGTCTCCTGTCCCCCCCCCCTCCTCTGTGTGTCGGTGCTGAGGCGGTGTCTCCTGTTCCCCCCCCCCTCCTCTGTGTGTCGGTGCTGAGGCGGTGTCTCCTGTCCCCCCCCCCTCCTCTGTGTGTCGGTGCTGAGGGCGGTGTCCCTGTTCCCCCCCCCCCTCCTCTGTGTGTCGGTGCTGAGGCGGTGTCTCCTGTCCCCCCCCCCCTCCTCTGTGTGTCGGTGCTGAGGCGGTGTCTCCTGTTCCCTCCCCTCCTCTGTGTGTCGGTGCTGAGGCGGTGTCTCCTGTCCCCCCCCCCCCCCTCCTCTGTGTGTCGGTGCTGAGTCGGTGTCTCCTGTTCCCCCCCTCCTCTGTGTGTCGGTGCTGAGGCGGTGTCTCCTGTTCCCCCCCCCTACTCTGTGTGTCGGTGCTGAGGCGGTGTCTCCTGTCCCCCCCCCCCTCCTCTGTGTGTCGGTGCTGAGGCGGTGTCCCTGTTCCCCCCCCCCCTCCTCTGTGTGTCGGTGCTGAGGCGGTGTCTCCTGTTCCCCCCCCCCCTCCTCTGTGTGTCGGTGCTGAGGCGGTGTCTCCTGTCCCCCCCCCCTCCTCTGTGTGTCGGTGCTGAGGCGGTGTCTCCTGTTCCCCCCCCCCCTCCTCTGTGTGTCGGTGCTGAGGCGGTGTCCTCCTGTCCCCCCCCCCTCCTCTGTGTGTCGGTGCTGAGGCGGTGTCTCCTGTTCCCCCCCCCTCCTCTGTGTGTCGGTGCTGAGGCGGTGTCTCCTGTTCCCCCCCCCTCGTCTGTGTGTCGGTGCTGAGGCGGTGTCTCCTGTTCCCCCCCCCCCTCCTCTGTGTGTCGGTGCTGAGGCGGTGTCTCCCTGTCCCCCCCCCTCCTCTGTGTGTCGGTGCTGAGGCGGTGTCTCCTGTTCCCCCCCCCTCCTCTGTGTGTCCGCTGCTGAGGCGGTGTCTCCTGTTCCCCCCCCCTCGTCTGTGTGTCGCTGCTGAGGCGGTGTCTCCTGTTCCCCCCCCCTCGTCTGTGTGTCGGTGCTGAGGCGGTGTCTCCTGTTCCCCCCCCCCTTCCTCTGTGTGTCGGTGCTGAGGCGGTGTCTCCTGTCCCCCCCCCCTCCTCTGTGTGTCGGTGCTGAGGCGGTGTCTCCTGTTCCCCCCCCCCTCCTCTTGTGTGTCGGTGCTGAGGCGGTGTCCTCCTGTCCCCCCCCCTCCTCTGTGTGTCGGTGCTGAGGCGGTGTCTCCTGTTCCCCCCCCTCCTCTGTGTGTCGCTGCTGAGGCGGTGTCTCCTGTTCCCCCCCCCTCGTCTGTGTGTCGGTGCTGAGGCGGTGTCTCCTGTTCCCCCCCCCCTCGTCTGTGTGTCGGTGCTGAGGCGGTGTCTCCTGTCCCCCCCCCCTCAGGAGATCTTATCCGTGTCTCTGAGATGAGGAAGTATTTCGGTGCTCAGTTATCTCTGTTCTGTTCTGTGGAGAACTCGAGCATTACTCAGCACCACCGCCAAAGGAGACAACTCAATTTCAGGGAGTGTGTGTGTGTGTGTGTGTGTGTGTGTGTGTGTGTGTGTGTGTGTGTGTGTGTGTGTGTGTGTGTGTGTGTGTGTGTGTGTGTGTGTGTGTGTGTGTGTGTGTGTGTGTGTGTGTGTGTGTGTGTGTGTGTGTGTGTGTGTGTGTGTGTAGAGAGACAGAGCCCTACAAAGCTAATCCCTAATCCCTAAACTAATCGATAAGCAGAACACGTTTTCTCAGTTTTTCTCAAAATATGTTAATTATTATTTTCTTAGCTGAGGAGATGTTTCAGTGTTGTCTGTGTTTGTTTTGCGATGATCCTAAAAAGATAACAATAGTAACAATAACTGTTTGTTTTTACATCAACGTGTTTTCTAGAGCATGCACATTAAAACACAATGATGGTTCAGTGAGTGTGTCTGTGTGTCACATATGGTGTGTTTGGCCTACATGCAGAGAGGGCGATAATAATAATTGATAAGCTGTTGCTCAGACATCGGAGGGGGGGGGGGGGGGGGGGGGCAGATATGATACTAACTGTAGAGAGAGAGGATGCTGCACACAGAGATTTATAGTATACAGATACTGAGAGTACACACAGTACACGTTCAGGATAGTTGCACACCATGAACACACTCTTTTGTTCTCCCTATTACCTCAGAGGAATGTCTCTCATACGTGAGATGTGTGCAGAGAAGCCAGAGGAGGACACTGCACTGCATGCACACAGTGATACATGCATTTTAACCTCCTGCATATCATCACTTTTGGATATGCGTTTTTAATGTTAGAAAGACTGCGCATTTGAGCACATAGGGTTATCTCAACCCTTATCACTATCACATGTATATCAGATTAGATATCACAAAGGAAGGAACAACATTGCCTTTATTGGAGATTGTAAACGCTGCTCACGAGATATTCACTGGGGAAATCGCAACTTGGTTTTTAAATTAGAGTGAATCTTTCGCTTTAGTCCATGTTGTATCTGTGCTCGAAAGCTGCCTCTATGGTGATCAGAGAGAACACTGACGTTTTTAAGCTCAGGAGGAAAAATACATATATTGTAAAATGACATAGAAAGATATAGTATACTGTGGCGCTGATCTTGTTTTCAAGATGTATCAATCCTCTGGAGAACATGAAAACAAAGCCGTCTGCCGCTCTGTTTGATGTTTCCGCAGGAATTATACCGTTTTTTGAGGAACAGAAATATTGTTTTCTGGCATCACTAACATTTTACAGGGAACATCTGCATTGGATTTCCCTCGTCTGCCTCCTGTGTCCTCAAAGCATTCCTGCTTTGTTTTTAGCTGTAGTCCTTTTCCTTTTGTTGATCCTGCTCGTTCAACGGTTTGTCTGGAACAGCTTTATTGAATAAAGCTCTTTGTTTACACCGTTATACCTTCTCCTGACAGTTACATCAAATGTTGCAACAAATGTAATAGTGTAGTATGTAGGAAGTCAAAATGTTGAAAAAGTCACACAAAATCAGTGAAATGTCAAACTATAATATGTCAGGAAACATCATACAAATAATGGCTTTTTTCAATGTCAAAGGATTTCCAAAATGATGCTTAAATATGAAACTACGTCACCAAAATACAAAGAATTGTCATGGTATAGTAATACAGTAGAGTAGTAGACAATACTGCTTTCTGCCAACAAAATAATTGCATAAATAACACCAACGTGTTCAGAAATATCAAATATAAGAACTCTGTACAAAAGTCAAGTTATTATTTAAAAACACTGCCTGTTTATGTTTGAATTAAACTGGATAAACGTGTCAGGGGAACCTGTGTTTTAAATATTGGAAGTTATTATTGAACCAATTACACAGCTGAAGGCTTTCCACACGTTTAAAATCACTGACCGTGATAAATATTAGAAGTTTCTGGATCTCCCAAGATGTTTCTAATCCTCAGTAACCCCCAAAATATCATTAACTACAAACAAATACACCGGACAAAAAAGTTAGAAAAAGGGCAATTTTATTTAAAGCACTTACATATAAAAATATGATCGATTTGAGTCACCAATAATAAATAGAGTGCCTGACGTTCCCCAGGCCTGTCGGTACAATCAGTACAATCAATATAATCAATATCCAGTTCCACAATACAGCAAAGGCACTAGCATCAACCACAATCAACAACAAGTCAATGAGGGGGGTCACACACACCTTCACTCCCGCCTTCTTCTGTGGAAATGACACCAGACGTAACCCTTCTCCACTTGCCTTTTGTCCAAATGCTCGTGGAAAACAACAAAAGAACCAGACAATGTGATGGAAATTAAAAAAACATCAAAATAAAAGTGACAATGAAAGATTGGCCCCAACTTTTCATTTATTTGAGCTAAAAAAAGTCAAGTTAAGGACCGTAGAACATTTGGATTATCCCCTGGGGAGCCTGAACATACTCTGACATGTTTAAATACGGACAATAACTTCAAAGTAAATGGAAGTGAGAATTGAGGGCCCACATTTTCATTTATTTGAGCTAAAAAAGTCAAGTTTAGGACCTTAAAACATTCGGATATCCTCTGGGGGGCTTGAATTTTCACTGGAATGTTTAAATGTTTCCGATAATTCCAATATGAATAGAAGTGAGGCCTCAAACTTCTATTTATTTGAGTTAAAAAAAGTACATTTGAGGACCCTAAAAATGTGGGATCATCCTCTGGGGAGCTTAACGAAACACCAACATGTTTAAATACGGCCAATAACTTCAATATAGATGACATTTTGGATTATCCTCTGGGGAGAATGAATATGCACTGAAATGTTTAAATACGGACAATATCTTGTGGAAGAGAGTAGAGAAGCCCTACATTTTGATTTATTTGAGCTTAAGAAATTAATTTGAGGATGAAGGGAAGGACCTTAAAACATTCGGATCATCCTCTGAGGAGTCTGATGATACGCTGAACTGTTTGAACATTGCCAATTACTTCAATATTAATTGAAGTGAAAAGAGAGGCCTTACATTTTAATCTAGTTGAACCGACAAAGTAAAGTTAAAGACCTTCAAATATTCAAATTATCCTCTGGGGAGATTGAATATACATTGAAATGTTTAAATATCAATAATAACCTTTATATAACGTCTTTTTACTAGTTTTTCAGGGGCCAATGTTTTGGCTAATCCAGTTTTAATCTCACAGCAGCTCTAGACCAAAGGGAGATTCAACAACATGATAACATCAATGGTAGCTCAGATGATAATGTTGAGATAACTCCACATGACTTTCAAAACTATGAAATTATGAGGATTAAAGTCCAACTGAAATTAGATGTTTGTTTCCTTTCAACTCCTTTGTTTTCTAATTAGCACTAAAAGTAATTATATAAATTCAAAGATGTATTTAAATGCAGTTTTCAGTGTTTTCTTACCCAATATCTTTGGTTTTTGACTGACAAGACATTTAAAGCTTGGTATTTGGGAAACTGGGATGAACGTTTTCCACCTGATTCTGAAATGTTAGAAATCAAAGTATTTATGGAGGATATCATCTGCAGATTAATCATTTAAAGAAATAGCTTTACTGTTTCCAACAAGTTGAAAAGGATCTTGCATTTAAACTGCAGCTAACGTTAGCTTCCTTTCTAAGTCTTCTCGTGTGTGTTATTATATATCAGAGTATTATTTCAACTTCATTTAAGAGTTTTACATTAGGTATATCATTACAATTATAAAACGGTTATAGTTGTTTATCCTTGGCTTGTAATCTACTGATATACAAATCTTGAATACTAATGATTGGCATTTGTATACTAGTTTGGAGGCTAAATAAGCATTTTTTTAATTAAAACTACTTTTGATTATCTGAGAGTTTGCCATTCAGTTGGACTTGGACAAAATAAAAGAATATCAGTAGATGGCTCACATTTATCCAGTGTTTCAGACACATTCAAGCTGCAACAGAATGACGTTAAACAAAGCTTCTGTAATTCAGAGCTAATAGAGCTGGTCCCAAACAGTAATGATCGTTTTATCTTTAATAGATATTTACTGCTTTCAGACGGAGAGAAAAAAACATGAACAATCACTTTCTTTTGATGTGAGGACATGTAGTGCAACTCTTTACATGCAAGCAACACACACACACACACACACACACACACACACACACACACACACACACACACACACACACACACACACACACACACACACACACACACACACACACACACACACACACACACACACACACACACACACACACACACACACACACACACACACACACACACACACACACACACACACACACACACACACACACACCTGAAGCTCAGAGATTATTCACCCGGGACAAAAATGAATTTTCTTTCAAAAAGGTCAGAAATGATAAACGAAGAAAAACAAAACCTTTGTCAAGTCGTAATCAAAACATTGTTAATGCCAATGTTTGTTATCATTGGTTTTGATTTACACTGGAGAAAGAAAAGAAATATTAAATATGTCAGTAAATACCATGGAGAGTGATAAGGCTTATCTCCACTTCGACTGGCCCTTAGAAACGTCGTCTTCTCCCTTAAATCTTCCCGTCATTCGGACAGAAACCCTGATTGTCAGAACAAGTTGTACCAATTACTCCCGGCGTTAAAGCTAGTCCGTCTTCTCAGTCCTTTTGTGAACGAAATCCTTCCCGTGATCTCTTCGACTGGAGAATTAATGCACAGGAGCCCGAGATTGTCCACAAAGGGCCGTAAAGCTTTACCGTCTTTTTAACCGTCTTTGTTAGCGTCCCTGCGGCTAACGGTTCCGCGGCGGCGCAGCGTTAGCACGTGTCCGACGGACTCGCGGTTTTTAACGTCTTTTTCTCCGTCCCTCTAGATGTTTCTCTGAGCCGTGAGGTACTTCAGTGCCGCCGAGCCGTATTTCCTGGACAGATCCTGGTGAAACTCTTCCTTCAGCGTGTTCAGGCAGTTGCGGTAACTCGAGCTGGAGCGAAACTTTGAGATGTCGAAGCTAGGAGCGTGCGGCATGTGGATCATGAAGGCGTTCGGCAGCACCATCAGTTCGTACTCCTGAGAAAACAGAAGGGATTTATGAAACATGGGTTAAGGTTTTCTAAGCAAACTAAAGAATTGATCAAAGCCTGCAGATATTTTTGTTATTTATTACACAGCTTAGTTAAATACTCAATGCTGATTGGTCAATTTTGAACATTCTGGTGAAGAAGAACGACAGGAAGAAGAGAACAGCAGAAGAAGACAGAAAACACATTCAAACCAACCAAGTTATTCCAGAACACTTGTTGTTATGGACAATGCTTGAAAGTAGAGCTAATAGAGTTGGTCCCAATCAGCAAGTATATTATTGATTTTTTCAGAGGGATAAATAATGGGGAAAAAACTGGAAAATGTACTTGTGTTCGTACCTGTGCGTCCAGCTCCAGTACGTGCGACACCTTGTTCCAGCCGAAGCCCACGAAGCGCTGGTCGTATTCGGGACAGTCCTTCCTCACCACCACGTACGGCTCGAAGTCCGCCTCCCACTCCACTCGGTACGGCGTGGTGGCCGTCCGCCATTTGGCGTAATCTGTCGGAGCGTGACCTTTGGGCCACACGTGATACCTGCAGAGGGAAATCAGTAAGTTACTCAACTTTACCTCTGCCACATCATAGACACTAGGGGTGTAACGGTTCACAAACATTTCGGTTCGGTACGTACCTCGGTTTTTAGGTCACGGTTCGGTTCGGTACGTTTTCGGTACAGCAGAAAAAATTATCACAAAACATAAAATATATATTGAACTTTACTGTACTAGTACTCACAAAACATAAACTATTAGTTTTGGGTTTTTAATGATTATTAAACTGTGAATATTCACTCAAATAAATACAAAATATAATAAAATAAACATTAAGGTGCAGCATGTCGATGAACTGAAATAATCTGTATTTGAACTGTACTAGTACCTAAGCAGCCAGTTTGACATTAGGACTTGCTTGTCATTGTATTTTCATGTTGTTTAAAGAAAGATGAACTTGTCCACATTGCTTGCCGAAAGGGCAGATCTGCTGGCACTAACAATGTCTCCTGCTGTGGAGAACACCCTCTCTAGGGACAGAGGTAGCAGATACAGCCAGGTAGCGCTTTGCTAACATGGCAACATAAGGATATTTGGCGTTTGTAATAGCTTTGGCTCGGTCTGAACTCTCTGCGAGTGGTGGAGGCTTACATGCTAGCGGGAGTTGGGTTTGCACTTCAGTCTTTTTTCTTTTGGTACCGGTGATATTCACGTTCGGGTGATGCCTTTTCAAGAGTGTGCAAGTTTGATGTATTGCCAGCCGCGTAACCAATGTTAGTTGAACAATGCCGACAAACAGCTTTGGTTCAGTCCACCTGTCTTTGTCCGTCATCCTTGTACGTAACTGCAAAACCAAAATGTTCCCAAACCGGAGACTTCAATGATGCTGGAGGATTTTCAGCTCAACTTTATCTGCGTTCGCCATTTCGACAGTTCCTCAAATTACTGGCTGAATATGAACGCATCCCTCTGACCAGCTCTCATAGTATGCCTCTCGTCCAATGAAATGACTTGTTCGCTCTATGACGCGTTGAACCTCTGAATGCTGCGACGCAGCACCTGAGATTACTTCCAAAAAGTTATTCACGTTCTCAATTTTTTACGTTTAACGTTATATTCGTTCGGTACACTTCGGGACACACGTGTACCGAACCGAAGGGTCCGTACCGAATAATTTCGGTACGGGTACGTATACCGTTACACCCCTAATAGACACTATGCATTACATCAATGCACACAAAATCTACAACAATATCTGTTTTCTTTTTTTTATTACTGCCGATTTTTATTCCATATTTTATTCCATTTCTATGTAAATAATGTTATATTTCTGGTTTATTTTTTATATTTTTCTAGTTCTTTATCTGTGTTTTACATTTTTGTTTTACTTTTATGTAAATCATCAAGTACAATTCCTCGTATGTGTCAACCTGGTAATAAACCTGATTCTGAAACCACTTTTAGTTTCTCTCTGCTGATTTGATCGTGTTTTTAGTACCTGAAGGTGTAGAGAGTCCCCATGTCCAGCATGGAGAGCAGCTCAGCTTTGGATTTGGGGAAAGAGAGACGGTACCGGAGCGTCTCGAAGGCCGGGACCACCAGAGCCTTCTTAGTGTGAGCCATGTCCATCTGCACCACCGTGCGCCTGCAGAAACACAGGGTTACTACAACAGATCCAGAACCAGGACTGAACCAGAACCAGGACTGAACCAGAACCAGGACTGAACCAGAACCAGGACTGAACCAGAACCAGGACTGAGCCAGAACCAGGACAGATCCAGAACCAGGACTGATCCAGAACCAGGACTGAACCAGAACTGAACCAGAACCAGGACTGAACCAGAACCAGGACTGAACCAGAACCAGGACTGAGCCAGAACCAGGACAGATCCAGAACCAGGACTGATCCAGAACCAGGACTGAACCAGAACCAGGACTGATCCAGAACCAGGACTGAACCAGAACCAGGACTGAACCAGAACCAGGACTGAACCAGAACCAGGACTGAACCAGAACCAGGACTGAACCAAGTTTCATACTTGTTATGTTATTTAGACGGAAGGGCATTCATCTCATTATGTTAGATTTTATAAAACAGGACAAACATCGGGGACTAAATGATCAATAATGCCTCCTTATATTTAAGGAATCTGAGTACTTCTACTTTTACTCAAGTACAAGATCTGAATACTTATTTCACCTCTGCTGTTACATTTATAGATTTTTCAGATTCATCATATCCATTTAGGAAATGCTGTTATACTTTAAACTACCCAACAGTTAAGCAAAACCTGCAGGAAACAGGAAACGTCAGTTATTGAACATTTCTGGTTTTGGACCATGTTTTAAACTCCTTACATAACCCAGACAAAAGGACTTGTATTCATTCATAATGCAAATCCAAAATCAGAGCCAAAATATGAATATATTCATTTCTGTCAGTGGAGGGTACATATTCTGAACTCTTTCCTCTGGAAAATGAATGTAAAGTATTTATCAGGAGGAAAAAACTAACAAAACCAACAGCGTGAAATGAATCTCAAGTTGGGCAAACATCCATATAGGTTTTTCTACAATCCCTGAAATCTCTTTCTAACAAAGTAACACACTCCTGAAACCTCTCGAGCATTAAACCCACAGTTTATCGATCTTTTCTTCAGTAACCAAAGGTACTTTAATGTAGCTTCTGGTCGTACCTGAGGTATTCGTAGAGTCCGTACATGGGCAGGAAGTCGACGTCTGTGAGGAAGACGTAGGGCGTGTTGGCGTTCCTCAGAGCGACGTTCCTCACCAGGTTGACGGGGTAGAACTGGCCCTCTTTGTACACGATGTGGTACCCAACGTTCTTCCGGTTCTTCAGGACCTCGGAGGCCTGAGCGTATCGAAGGAACTGCTGCGCCTCGGCGTCCGACATGTAGAGCGCCAGGCTGATGGGCCCCTCCCAGTGCTTACAGATGGCCTCCAGCATCTGCAGCCTGCACACAAACACACGGTTATCCCAGGAAACAAACCTTATCCTGGTCTTACCCAAGTCATTTACAATAGAATTTGTCTTTGCCGCATCTGTTAAACACCTGAACTAGAACATCCATAACATTCACCTGTTGGCAACATACAAATTATTTATCTAATATATCACATTCCATTTACTTGTATATCGACTCTGATTGCACTATATGCTATAATACTAATACTATAATTACTACTGATTATATTTTTATTCGAGGGGGACCCAAGTTCCCATCAGCAGAAACACGTGGGTTTGCTGTCCTGGCTCCAAGATGGTGGAATGAGCTCCCCATTGACATCAGGACGGCAGATAGCTTACACATCTTCCAGACTGAAAACTCATCTCTTTCGACTCCACTTCGAGCGATAGAACTATTAACAAAGCACTTATATACTAACAAAGGACTGGCTTAACTAAAGCCAGTTGAGTAGCACTTGAAATGTTTGGCTCTATGAAGCCTGATGTACTTTATGATTCTGTTTTCAAGGTTGTGTCTACTTGGTCAAACGCACTTATTGTAAGTCGCTTTGGATAAAAGCGTCAGCTAAATGTAATGTAATGTAATTTGTTTTTATTTGTATTACTTGCATTATTTTATCTGTTTTATTGTGTTGCTCTGTTGGAGGAACCTGTGACCTAAGATTTTCATTTACATAACTACACTGTAGCTATGCACGAATGACATCAGAAGCCTTGACTCTTGAACCTTGATCTTAGGCAACGGTTTCAGGGTTAGAGATGCATAAGAAGCACAATTGTTGAGCTCTTTGACTCTGGCAGGCGTCATAAAGAACCCGGGTTATCCAGGGAAACAAACCTGATCTTAATTACAAATTAACAATAATAAAATATAAAGCAAGTTATTATATGTAGTTCTGGTACCTGTCCATGGAGAGCTGAGCCACCAGCGTGATGTCGGTGTCGTCCTCTGCAGGTGAGTACTCGTACTGCAGGAAGTACAGGTGAACTCTGTGCACGGTGAGGCGCTCCCGCCGGAAATCATAGCACTGATCGTCCTCATCGAGATCCTCCAGAGCCGCCTGCAGCTGAGGAGAAACCACACAACACAGGGTCAGAGGAAGGGTGTAGACAACTTAAAGGTCTCCTAGTATACTATTAGGCATATAGTATAGGTCTCAGATATATACAAATATATTAAAAACATGTCTATGAAGTGTTTTGCTCAAAATACCAAACAGAACACCCAGAACATACCCCTCTATTTCAGCCTGATACCAAAGTGCTGATTCTGGGTCTAAAGCTGCTGTGATTAAACTCCATATCGTGTTCAAAGCCACTTCAAGGGTTATTTCTGAAAGAGTACGGAGCTCAAACTCTTTCACTCTCAGGTTTACCACAAGGTGAGTTCATTTAACATCCTGCTTCTTTACACATGCTCTCTCCAGTACAGGTTAGCTCTGAGTGTTAGCGATGCTAATGTAAATAAAGACCATATGACTTCCAGAACACGTCGCTCATTGTTTCTGATACAGCAACGTTTCTGATAGGACCGTGGGTCTAAAGCCCGCCCACATTTAAGGTATTACGTCATATCTGGATCAGCTCCGTTGTTCCTCTGTTTTTAGAGATGTGGGTACGGAGGAAAAGAGAGAGGGGTTTATTTCCTGACACTTTGTGAGTCTTCTGACACACCGGGGACACATAGTTACATATAAAAGACATCAACAAGTGCATTTTGAAAGGAGACCTTTAAGATGCTGTGTGTGTCAGGATTTTGGATTTTAAGAAAAAGTCAAAATGTGGAGGTTTTCTGAAAAAGTCAGAATTTGGAGAAAGAAGTAATTTTGAGATTTGCAGAAAAAAGACAGAATGTTGATATTTCTCTGAAAGTCACGACTTTGAGAAAATAAATCCGAACATTTTTATTTAAGGAAAAATTCTGAGGTTTTCTGAAAAAGCCGTAATTTAGAGATGTTATTGAAAATTCATAATTTTAGGAAAACTCAGCAATTTGGGGAGAAATTATGAGATTTGCAGAAAAAAGTCAGGATTTTTGATTTTAAGAAAAAGTGTGTACCTTCACGCTCTCGGGGCTCGCCTGGCTCGGGCAGCCGAACAGTTCCCGTCTCAGCAGGTTCCCGTCGTACTCCAGGAAAGTGAGGTAGAGATTCCTGAAGAACTCCACGTGTTTGTTCTTCACTCGCAGCTTCTTCGGAGAGTTCCAGTGGATCACCTGAATACACACACACTTTTACTACACACACCAACACTGTTGCTACCAGAGAGGGCAAAAGTACACCAGTGGTGGGCCGTCAGGGCCAGCAAGGCCTTCTCTGCTGGCCTAAACATCATCAGAATATAAATTTAATTTTGATATATTTTTTCCACAAATATGTATTAAATTATTCCCCATAGTCTATTCTTTTCATTTAATAGCTTTCCTCTTGGTTGCGCTGCTTCCAGCCTCAGAACAAGATTTGGAGGGCTGGCCTTTATGTTAGAGCTTTTATCCAATCATATTTCAGCCATAATGTGTTGCCAGGGTCCAATAAATCTGCCCTTAGGCCTTCAGAATCAACAGTGCGGGCGCCTGTAGCTTAAAGTGAACGGAAACAAAACTGTGGCGTTAACCAATCAGATTTTGAGTTGGCGACAACGGGCCAGCTAGCAGGCGTACGATGACGTCAGCACGTGCACGTCTTTTGATTGGATACGCACTATTGAGAGGCAGAGCTATGTAGAGCTAGCAAACTGAACTTGAATTTGAACGAGCTAATTTGTGTAGATTTCTACAAGCTGTTTTTTTTCAACCCACAATGGCTGAAGGAGAAGAGATCGATTTGGTCGCAGATATAATTACAACGCCATTTTCAAGATGAACTTTTCAAGAAAAGCTAGACATCGTGAGAAGAGAACGGCCAACCCCGACGCTAGCGAGCCTATCACAGCGGGGGAAAGGGTTTGTCCGCCACTTTCAAATCACTAACTACGAGCGGTACCCCTGGCTCACAGCCTCCGAGAGGCACTGCAAATTGTACTGCTGGGAATGCCTGCTATTTGCAAATGATCGATGTGGTGTTTGGAGCCACACTGGATTTGCAAACTTGAGTTGTCTAACCAAGGCAGCAACGAGACACCAAAGCACGGCTGGGCACTTACAAGCAATGGTGCTTTTGAAAACCTTTGGGGACACCCGAGTGGATCTACAGCTCAACGAACAAGTGCGCCGGGAAACGGAGCTCCACAACGAAAGGGTGAACAAAAATAGGGAAATATTGAAAAGACTGATTGATTTTGTCCTGTTTTTGGGTAAACAGGAACTTTCATTCAGGGGACATGATGAAAGCGCTGAGTCCAGAAACAGAGGAAACTACGTGGAGCTTCTTTCTTTGCTTGCTGAGAACAACACAGACTTGCATTACCACCTGTCCACAAACAAAGTGTTTACTGGGACGTCAGGCAAAATACAAAACGACCTGATTTATGCTATTGCTGAAGTGATGGGAGAAGAGATCAAAATGGAGATTAAAAAAGCACCCTTTGTCGCTGTTATGGTGGACGAGACGACAGACGTGGGTAATGTAGCACAGCTGGCACTTGTCCTGCGTTATGTGACGGACACAGGTGTCAAGGAGCGGTTTGTCAGATTTGAAGATGTTACAAGCGGCAAGCGAGCTGATGACATTGCCGCTCTTATTTTCCGTTTCATGGAGGAATATGAATGTAGTCTGGATAAAGTTGTGGCACAGTGTTATGATGGCGCAGCGGTCATGGCATCTGGACTAAATGGGGTGCAGGCTAAAGTTAAGGAGAGGGCACCTATGGCCTTATTCATTCACTGCTATGCACATCGACTACATTTAGTACTGACTCAAGGGGCCTCAAAGCTTAAAGAATGCAAGGTCTTTTTTGCCAGCCTCAATGGCCTTGCAGCATTTTTCTCCAGATCCCCTCAGCGCACGCAACTGCTGGATGACATTTGCAAGCGTCGTCTTCCTAATGTTGCACCAACGCGGTGGCAATATACATCGAGATCAATGCAGTCTTTGAGAAGAGAGTTTCCCTAAAGGAGGTGTTTGACCACATACTGGAACATCATGAGGAGTATGATGGGGATACTATTTTAAGGCCATCCATAACCTCACTCCTCTGTACCTCTCCGACCTCCTGCACATCAACACGCCCATCCGCACACTCAGATCTTCTCCTTCCTTCAGCCGCTCTGCACCCCCCTTCCGTTTAACCACCATGGGGTCTAGAGCATTCAGCCGCTCTGCACCCCGCCTCTGGAACTCCCTCCCACCTGACATCCGCAACACTGACTCTCTCCCCATTTTCAAATCACGCCTCAAAACATATCTCTTCACACTCGCATATCCACCCTGATCATTATCCATCTCACATCCTCTGTTTGATTTATTTGATTTGTTGCATTGTCTTGTTTATGTTTCTTATGCTGGTGTTAGGTATTGTGTATCTTGTTTTTTTATGTGTTTGTACGGCGACCTTGAGAGCCTTGAAAGGCGCCTATATAAAATAAATGAATTATTATTATTATTACTATGCTTAGCGCTGATGGATTTAATGCACGTCTGGATGATTTTGAGTTTTGTTTTTTGCTTGAAACATTCAATGGGATTTTTAAGCATTCAGATGTGCTCTTTGGAATACTACAGAAACAAACATTGGATGTACAATTCTGTCTGACAAGGGTGAACGAGTTTTGTGACACAATTGAGCGAGAGAGGTGCCAGTTTCGTCAGATCTACGAGGACACAGCGCGCATCTCAAATGGTCCGAGCGCACGCAGAGGCCCACGTACAGCACAAGGAGACCTTCGCGCATACTACCAACAACTCCACAGCAATATTCTGGACAACATTCTTTGCCAGATACGGAGTAGGTTTCAAGACCACGAAAAATGTATGTTTCTCTCCCTCCTGGACCCCCAGCACTTTCAGACCTACCGGAAAAAATTCCCGCAAACAGCCTTAGCCAAATTAACACAGAGTCACGGAACACTGTTCGATCTGTCCCGGCTAAAAACAGAACTGACTGTAATGTATGCCATGACTGATTTTGAAGGGAAAAGTCCCACTGATCTCCTTGATTTCCTTAAGCAGAAACATCTGAGTGAGAGCATGGGGCAGCTTTACACATTGGCATGTGTGGCAGTGACTATCCCTGTGTCCACTGCTTCTGTCGAGCGGTCATTCTCGGCCTTAAAGCGAATTAAAACTTATGCCAGAAATTCTACTGGACAGACTCGGCTTTCATCATTAGCCTTCATGTCTATAGAAAATGACTTATTGGTGGAACTGAAACGCACAGATAAACTGTACAACAGAGTCATTGAAGTCTTCTTGAGGAAAGAAAGGAGGATGGATTTTGTGTTCAAATAATCAGTTGTTTTGGTGAGTACAAAGCATTTTATTTATTTTTTTATTTTAATATATGTTTGTCATTTTATGTCGTTAATATTAAATCAATATTAACAAATTAATATATATGTAATTAAAATGACAAATATATAAAAAATAAATGTTTGATGCTTCTGCAAGAGATATAGAGATGTGTGTGGCGCACTGGCTCAGCTGTGCAGTAAAAGTACTCAAGGAGACTTGTTGAATTGTTTTGGTTGAACCTTTATCAAAGTGGACATTCAGGGCTAGGAATACACTTTCACCACTGTCGCAAATATATCCTCATGAACAAATGCAAATTAATTGTTTGTTTTCTTTTATTTTCAGTGAATAGTTTGTGTCTTTATCGTCACGTTTCTTAAATGAAACTGCTTTGGGTGCGACAATGCGCTGTTTAGTGAACAAACTTGTTAAAGCTCACATACTTTTGGTGGACTTAATAAAACTTTGTAGACTAATGCCTTAAAAGCCCCTTTTATTTTTAAGTTTTGACAGTATCCAAGCGATCTTAAAGCTGGTAGTTTAACACTCTTAATTGTAAATGCGGATATATTGATTATAAATGCTTCGGAAATATTAATATAACTCTGTTGTAATTGACTATGTTAAGGTGATGCAACGCCCGGTTATACTGCGTTTCTGTCTAAATGTATAGTTTCTAGAGCCATGGCGTCATAATGATGGTATTGAGAGGTGGAATAATTCAGGTAGGACTGTGTCGGACATCACTGAAGGCCTAGGTGTGAAATGCACGGCCCGCCACTGAAGTACACACATCCTTTACTCAAGTAGAAGTACAGATACTCGTGTTTAAAAATACTCTGGTAAAAGTAGAAGTACTGACTAAACTTCTTTACTCAAGTGAAAGTAAAGAGGCTTTGAAGTGTACTTCAGTAAAAAGTACCCATAACTAGCAGCTGCTTTAAAGAGTACCTGACCTCCCTTTATATTAATAGAACAATAATGTCATTGTTAGCTAATGAATGTTTCCATGCTGAACAACGGCAACATGACAACGTTTCCATTGGTCCCTCTTCTTTAGAGAAGACCAGGAAATGATGGATACACGGATCGTGTTCAAATCAATAGACACGCAATGACTCTAAAGAATAATGATCACGCACCAAACACACATTCAGACTAAAGTTGTTCCTTGCATGGCCTCAGATCTACTTCATATAGTAAACAAGTCTCTTCACTCAGGTGTTTTTCCACAGGCCCTGAAAACTGCAGTCATTAAACCGCTCTTAAAAAAGAATAATCTAGATGCTTCAGTAATGAACAATTACAGGCCCATATCAAACCTCCCATTTCTAGGTAAAATCATTGAAAAAGTAGTTTTTCAACAGTTGAGTAATTTCTTGCATTTAAATAACTGTTTGGATGTGTTCCAGTCAGGCTTTCGTCCAAACCACAGCACTGAGACTGCTCTTGTAAAGGTCTTTAATGACATCCACTTAAACACAGACAGTGGCAGAACTTCAGTGTTAGTATTATTAGATCTCAGTGCTGCGTTTGACACTGTTGACCACAGCATATTACTAGACCGACTGGAACACTGGGTGGGACTTTCGGAAACAGTTCTAAATTGGTTTGAATCCTACTTAAAGGACAGAAACAACTTTGTTTCTATCGGTAAATACACATCTAGTGTGTGTGTGTGTGTGCGTACCTTGAGGTCGGACACCTCTGTGTAGCACTGCTCAGAGCGAGTGTGGTCCGACAGCTGGACGTTCCAGAAACACGGCAGCTGGTGCACCAGGACGGGGTTCTGCTTTATGAAGGCGTTGAAGATGTCCTACACACACACACACACACACACACACACACACACACACACACACACACACACACACACACACACACACACACACACACACACACACACACACACACACACACACACACACACACACACACACACACACACACACACACACACACACACACACACACACACACCACACACACACACACACACACACACACACACACACACACACACACACACACACACACACACACACACACACACACACACACACACACACACACACACACACACACACACCTTTTAACACAGTTTTAAACCACACACAGCTCTATTTATCCTGCACTTTGCTCTCATGTACACACACACACACACACACACACACACACACACACACACACACACACACCTCTTGAAGGCATCACAAATAAAACACATATCCTCTTCTTTGCCGGTCTCCTGGCAACCTCAGATTGTATTATATGTATTCCACAGAGCTGTGGGATGGTTAACAAAGACAGGCTCTGTGCGTCGCCGCTGGAGCTCAGATGAAAGAGAGAGGATGGTTTCATAATGTACACTGAGAGGAAAGACATCATGGAGGACAGACGGATCATTTGTTCAGCTCCTGAGTGGCTGCTTTCGCTTTAAAGAACACTTTTGTATCAGTATGGACATCTTTATGTGCAGGTTATCATGTAACCCTACGTGAGGAAAGCTGATCAAACCACACTTATTGAACCCAGAAGATCCACAAATCTGTTCCCTCTGGTTTTGGGCCTCTGAGGGTAAAGAATAGGCTGAATGCAGACTCGCATTGTGATTCAAAGATAACCAATGACTCATCAGGAATCAGCCGGTGTTTTATGGGTTAGAGGAAATGCTAATTGTGTAATCCGGCATGTCTCACAAAGCCAAGGGAAACAATACTTCTTAACGATAAAAACAGTCAAATGTTTGAAATGTGAAAGCTTATTATTGACTTTAGAAATCATGGTTTGAAAAAAGGATCTCTAGGAAAGTAAAAGTAGAATTTAATTTCCCGTGTGACTGACTGAACTTCTTGCAAGAATAAAATACAACAGGGCGACTGTGGCTGAGAGGGGGTGCGGTCGTCTTTCAACCAGAAGGTTGCGGGTTCGATCCCAGCCCATTTAGTCAACATGTCGATGTGTCCTCGGGCGAGATACTGAACCCTGAGTTGCTCCCGATGGCCAACGGTGTGTGAGTGTTAGGTCCTGGAGTAAGGTGCACTGCTCTGAGTGAATGGCATGTAGTATGTAAAGCGCTCTGAAAGACTGTTAAAGCGCTATATAAGTACAGTCCAACAAAGACAGCTGAATGGTTTGATTCACATTTGATAAATAAATTCCCACCACACTTATTAAAGCAAAGGGCTTTGGATGAAAGCATCACCTACAGGTAATGTAGAGTGCGCTGTTCCTCTCACCTGGTCGGCCAGAGACGTACTGAGCATGCTCATCAGCTCTCTTTCTGCCGTCAGCCTCCACATCTGCTCCCAGCCGAGCCTCCGCAGACGCTCCAGGTAGAGGAGGATCACGCCTGCAGGAAATACATCACAACATGGTGTTATCAAAGGGACCAGTGGGAGGCTGTGACTCAAGTTCACGAGCCAACTGGAACGTCACTTTGAGGAACAGTTACCGGTGTTGAATCCTCGTCCGAGTGCAGGCCAGGGTTTGTGGTTCTTCCAGAGGTTCCCCAGGTACCAATCACTCTGGTTCTCCACCAGACCAATCACCTGCTTATCTGCACACACACACACACACACACACACACACTGTTTAGGATAATCATAACGAAGAAAGAAAAAAGCGGTGAAAAATCTCATCATTTAAGAAAAATAAATTAACACATTTTGAGAAAACTGTGAAAACTTGTTCTGCTAATTGACACACACACACACACACACACACACACACACACACACACACACACACACACACACACACACACACACACACACACACACACACACACACACACACACACCCACACACACACACACACACACACACACACACACACACACACACACACACACACACACACACACACACACACACACACACACACACACACACACACACACACACACACACACACACACACACACACACACACACAGAAACCTATATGACATTGCGGTTTTAAATGCCCTTCGTCTCACCGGTGAACTTCCTGAAGATGCCCCACAGCTCGGCGATGTCGGTGGCGAAGGTGATGTCGGTGTCGAGGACGATGACCTTGGAGAGGTCGGAGGGCAAAGCTTTGGTGAGCGTCAGCTTCATCAAGCCGTAAATACCTGAGTAATGTTTGTTGGGTATCCACGACACCTCGGACTGCGACAACAAGAGGAGAGGAAAGAAAACACGTTTATTTAACATGTTGTCATTGAAGTGACTGCTATTATGTATATATCGTTTGTTCTGCTTTTACTTATGTCTCAAAGGTGGGGTAGGTACTTTTGGAGAAACCAGCTCGAGTGCGCTAGAATTTGAAAATACACAGCCGGAAGAAATCTGCCTCTTCCTCACAGAGCCCCTCCTCCAACACACACGAACGCGCACATGACCAATGAGGGCACGAGATGAGTTTGTGCCCAGATGGAAGGCTGACAGGCAGGTAGGCCATCCAGTTACTTTAGCCGGCTCAGATGATTGGTCGTGCTTTTTACAGCGCCACGGCTTCAAAGAACTTCAGATATTCATTGCTATCGGGATGTTAAAGCATTCCATGGAATATAACAACAAGTGTATCTCGAGCCGGTTTCTCAAACGTACCTACCCCACCTTTAATGTGTGCATATGTATAAATGTGTCTGTTGATTGTGTATATATAGGATATACATATTTCTATATATATATATTTGTATTCCTCTGGATTGTGGGAAACGGTATTTAGATCTGTCTGGACACACAAACTGAAAGATTGACAATAAAGTTGACTTTGATTCTTTACCTTCTTAACGTCACTGGGAGCCAGTGTCCATTGAGAGTGAGCAGAAATCAACATAGGCAGACACGGAGAAACGTGTGTGTGTCATCAATGTTTTCAGTACATTACCTAGTTTTAAAAGTAGGCACACTGCCTCTAAGCAGGTCTAAAGAAGAGTTCTCAAGGTGAGCGGGGGCCCCTTTAAGACACAAGCTAAATCTGCAGAAATAAATAAGTTGTAAACGGAGAATGAAAATCCCCAAGTTTCCGTATTCATGGAGTCAGAGGCTACTCACAAAGGGGTATGTTATCTACATGTGAAACAGTAAGAACACGTGCAGAACAGAATATTCTGGAAAACATGGTAGAAGAGATGAACTAAATATAACCTCGATATGCAAATTGAAATATCAAATACTTTTCTAAAAATATCTCATCCAACTTGACTCCACACGCTCAGGATTCAGAAAACATTCACCAACTTGACGACACTCAAAAATATCAAATGTATTCATTTCAAAAATCCCCGCAAACACAAAATGCTGCACAAAGCCATCTGTTTCCAGGGGACACTAACAAGTGCTGCACACGGCAGGGATCCGGCATTCATGATGTTATAGTGCAGTGGTTCCCAAACTTTTGCAGTCGGGACCCCCTTGGGTATTGGAAATATTTTCAGGACCCCCCAACCCGGTTCCCATCTATACTGGTAGGATTAATTGTATATTGTTGTAAAAACATTACATTTTCTCTGCTAATAATAAGAAGATCCAACTATCATTGTATATTTTATTATGGATTACACCTGAACTAAAGTGCTTGGAAGATACTGTGAATTAATTTGGCCTAATTAAAACTGGTTGGCCTTCTTCCCTGAGTAGCAGATTTTTAAATTCAAATTTCTTTAAGGAAAATATATGAATGAACTATTTCTACTGCAGGTTGCAAACGATCACTTTACCATTCCTATTCCACACATAGCCTATCAATGACTTGTGTGTGCTTGCTGTCCCTCGCAGATCTCCTCAAAGCGGGGCTGTTGTTTTGAGACTCTCTCAGTTCATTCTCAATGTTCAGCTTTGATCTGTATTTGGTTTTGATGGCAGCAACAGCAAGAAAAGCCGATCTCACACAAGTAGGATGTTGCAAAAGGCAGCATTCTGCCCACAGCTCTCTGACCAATGAGATATTTCCGAGCTGTGTTTGTTTAAATTGAATAATAATAATAATTAGGGCTGTCAGTCGATTAAATTAGTTAATCACGATTAATCGCAAATTAATCGCACATTTCTTATCTGTTCTAAATGTACCTTAGAGGAATATGTTTCAAGTTTTTAATACTCTTATCAACATATGAGTGGACAAATATGCTTTATGCTAATGTTTATTATCATTTGAACAATAACAAATATTCTCATGAATATTAAACACAACAACCTGTGTGTGTGTGTGTGTGTGTGTGTGTGTGTGTGTGTGTGTGTGTGTGTGTGTGTGTGTGTGTGTGTGTGTGTGTGTGTGTGTGTGTGTGAGAGAGTGTGTGTGTGTGTGTGTGTGTGCTGGATCGTTGGAGCTATGTGCAACTCAAGGCATATGCTCGAACCGGAGCTGCCTGGACGCTGCAATCATGTTGCGCACTATCCGTGCTGAGTGTGCTGACTTCTCGTACAATGTCCCACTGTCTGGCTTCCTGCATAAAGTCAAGTGCTCGGCGCAGTTGTGGCGAAATGTCGCTCCTCTGTTTTCATTGAAACAGCTCCTTATATCCGTTAGCGCAGCTAGCTAGCACCAGATGCTAACAACAGCAATACACGTAAGGTATGCCTCGCTCGCTCGTGTCACACATACACACACCCTCCCGGTCCTCCCAACAGCCAGTCGGTGCCTGCCGGTGAGCGTGGAAGTGTGGGCGACAGGAGCGGGGCTGTCAGCATCAGCTTGTAGATGGTATTTTAAACTCGATGCGCTCTGAAACTACGGGGCGGCCGAGGACAAAAAATACACATGCGTTAATCACGTTAAAATAATTAGTGGCGTTTTTTTTTTGCCTTATTAACGCGTTAACTTGACAGCCCTAATAATAATACATTTGATTTGTATAGGTGCACTTTAAAAACAAAGTAATCTCAAGGTGCTTCACAAAGCTAAAAGGAGAAAATACAAAAATCTTCCCGCGACCCCCCTGCAGTACCTCCGCGACCCACCAGGGGTCGCGCCCCAGAGTTTGAAAACCAGTTATAGTGGATATTATTATAATCTGTAGATGTACTTGTCTCTGTTGTTTCGGCCCCTGTGTGTGACTTCATTGAGACGTGAAGACACGTTTTATTGTGTATTTATTTGTAGGTTTTGGTGCGTGTTTGAGTTGTTTTGCTGTAATTATATATAAAACCTGTTTTTGTATACGCTATGCATTCTTCCCTCCGGTTTCAAACGGTTTTTTGTACCCTCGGTGTATAAATTGTCTGTATTATAGTTAATAGTAGAATAAAATAATGATGTGTTTTTGCGAGTTAGTGTCAGCCTTCGCCTTGTGTCTGAAGCGGTTTCTCCTAATGGAAATGTTGAGCCGTTAGAAATCTGTGTGGGAAACAAAAAGCCACATTCAGCATATTTTGGCAAAATCTCAAAGTGTGTGTTCTCTCCTCTTCTGAATCTGCAAAAAATATATTTTAATTAATTCTCTTGATTCAGAGTAATTGGATCTGCATAAGTGCATCATCTGCAAATATAATCCTCTTACAGTCGCCTCTGCTTCTCTCCACTTTAATGTGACTTAATGAAAACTGAAGGGGGGGGGGGCTGCAGGTCGGCTGCACAAGGGACTCATTGTTCAGCACAAACACACACACACTTATCCAGGCTCGTTGTTCCTTACATCCGCATCAGTCTTGAGAGCCACATTCATCAACTTGACGTTAAAATAAATGATTTGCTGTTTTTCTGCTGAAGTGTCACTTGACTTTGGAGGAAAGTGTTTCAACAGCTCGTCCGACTCAATCACAGATTGTCGCTGTCAAGTGAAAAGCTTCCACCCACCCACACACACACACACACACACACACACACACACACACACACACACACACACACACACACACACACACACACACACACACACACACACACACACACACACACACACACACACACACACACACACACACACACACACACACACACACACACACACAATCCTACTGTTGTGCGTCAAGACTAAACTAAAAGCAGGGTGTGCAAATCTAAATCAAATATCCTGGTGTCTTTGCTTCAACCTTGCAGTGCATTTTGAAGCACTCAGGAGGGCTTTTAATGTGAAAATGAATGAAGTTGAATAGAGTGGCGCAGGAATGACTCAGCATTCACTTCCTGTTCCCTCTTTAATGGTTTTCTGAATGTGTTTTAGGTTGTAAGTCTGACATAAGGTCTGTGGTTAGCACAAGCTGAAGAGATTTTTATTCTATAACATAACATACGTCAGTAAATACCCCACTGGTGAATTTAAAAACGTTGGTTGCTAACAAGTGTCTAAATAAGACGACTAAACGTCATCACGCAAGACATTAGCCGCCTTTAGTTTAGCGGTGGTGACGTGAAGTCATGTGATCGTGCTGTAGTTCCTTTATAGCCCAACATTAGCCACCTTTAGCTTAGCGGTGGTGACGTGAAGTCATATGACCGTGCTGCAGTTCCTTTATAGCCCAACATTAGCCTCCTTTAGCTTAGCGGTGGTGACGTGAAGTCATGTGATCGTGCTGCAGTTCCTTTATAGCCCAACATTAGCCTCCTTTAGCTTAGCGGTGGTGACGTGAAGTCATGTGATCGTGCTGTAGTTCCTTTATAGCCCAACATTAGCCTCCTTTAGCTTAGCGGTGGTGACGTGAAGTCATGTGACCGTGCTGTAGTTCCTTTATAGCCCAACATTAGCCTCCTTTAGCTTAGCGGTGGTGACGTGAAGTCATGTGACCGTGCTGTAGTTCCTTTATAGCCCAACATTAGCCTCCTTTAGCTTAGCGTGGTGACGTGAAGTCATGTGACCGTGCTGTAGTTCCTTTATAGCCCAACATTAGCCGCCTTTAGCTTAGCTGTGGTGACGTGAAGTCATGTGACCGTGCTATTTGAAAATATGAATTTCCTGCATTCAGTCGGTGTAAATGGAGATTAAACTGAGGATTGATCCTCCTCAGCTCATGTAGCAGCAGCTAAATCACTCCTCTGATCTGATAATGTAACGCGGAGCTGTGGCCTCCTGCTTCAGATTGAGCGATGCGTCTTTACTCTGCATTGATGTGTGTTTCTCTTTGATGCTCTGAGGTTAATCTCTTCTGTCAGATTTAGAAATACTTTTAACTCCTCACTGCTGCTTCTGGAGGTTTGATATATGACACATCGGATTTGCCTTTCACTG